TATTTCAAGGTTTTAAACATAACATTTTTAGGAGACTGTGTCAGGTCACAGTCAAAACAATAAGAATTAGAAATAAGTTCCTGCTTCCTATAAAGAAAAGGTTCCCTAAGCAGTCAAAATACAGTAAATTGAAGCCTAGCTTTTCATTTGCTGAGATAAAAGACTCCATTTCTTTAGCTGCAGAGAAATAAAGGAGGCTGAATAATCATATCTGCTAGGGACTCGCATGTGACAAGAGAATGAATGCGTTTCAGCAGAAAGCCATGTATCATCCTCATTGATCCCTAACTGTGTGTATTAAGAATGAAAATTACTCCAGCAGTGAATGTCAGGCACAACAGGTTTTAACCAAATAATGGATGCAGACTCACAAAATGACCAGGGGAGCATTTAGAGTCTGCCACTCTGGAAATTTAATCTTTGCAGTATAGCCCCAAAATATCCCTGAAGAAAAGAAAGACTTCCCAACATCAGAATTCTAGCCAACAGAAAACATGTCCTCCCCAAATGAAAAATGACACAGCCTCCCCCACCCAAAACACTCCTCTCTGTGAATTGAAATGACAGCACAGGGAGCTTCAAGAGGGCTCTTTCTTCCCTTGCCAATGTTGGTGTCTTTAGAAATAATTTTTGTTGAAAGTAAAGCCAAACACAAACACACACCTTTCTGTAGATAATTAATATAAAGTAACACTTTTCTGTCGTGGTCCTTTCCATTCAAACTGAGCGTTTTACATTCTCTTATAAAGGTAATGTGCTTTTAAAGCTATTGCACATATTCATATCTGACAACCACAAACATTAATGTATTTATGCTGGTATAATATATGATAGACCGAAAAATTCTAAAGCAGAACTTTTTAATAAACTGAGAGAGATAGATAATATGACTGTCTTTAAGATTTTAGCCATCAACAGACAAGATTTTTATTAAATACGTTGTTTATAATGTGCCTCTACCAGTTTAAAATCAAAATACTGAAAATAATGCTCATCAATTTTTGCAAATTAGCTCAAGCTTAATAAGGGTTCAGTCTAACAACAGCTCATATTAGGTATTTCCTTTAATTTTGCAGAATGTAAGTGAGGTCTTTCTGGCAAGTACCTATAGCCACTTTTCCATTGCCTTTTTATTTCAAAAGCCTGGATATTTTGAGAGACACAACTCAGTGCAGTCAATTTTTCTTGATTATGATTATTCACATATATTAATATTTTCATCCCAGAAAATAAAATCAGATAGCTTTTGCTGGGAAGTTTTTACATTTTACATTAATGTAGGTATTCATTACTTGTGCAATCATTCAGGTCATGAAAACCAGAAAATAGACTTAAATTGTTATGTAAGCAGGCTTTCACTTAGTTTTTCTGAAAAAAGTTTCAACACCTACCTAAGTGTGCTTTCCATTTGTGCAAGGGAGTAACCAGTTGGAATGCTCATATTTTTTAAAAACCTGAGACCAAGGTGTTTAATGAGTGGGTCATATTGATTTGCATATGTTATGGAATGGGCTTAAAAAAAAAAAAAATTCAGTTGTTTCACAGCTTCAGCTACTGCAGCTAGAAAACTTTGATTATGGACAAAATCTTGGTGTCATGAAGGGCTCAGACCTGAAGTTTTATATATACCGTATATATATATATATATATATATATATATATAAAACTCCCAGCAATATCCCCTCCAACCTCCAGCCACTGGGGTGCCCCCCTCCTTCTCCTGGACATGCATATTTTTTTACTCTGGCTTCACCCTTTCACTAAATTACATGTTCTGACCAGGAGATGATTCTTTTCTTTACATCTGTCTCTTTAGATCTGTCCACAAATCATGACAGAAAGAATATTTCAGTACGAAGATTGAAGTTTAAAAAGAAATTGTAGGGGACCAGCCAAGGGCCCATCAAGGAAAGTGAGGACATTTTGAATGACTACTACTCTTGCTCCAATTTCAGTCTACAATTTAAGTTCTGTATTAGGCTTTATCCTTCTGCCATCAAGTCTAAAGAACCTTCCTACAAGAGAAAAGCATCTTCACAGCATCATGCTACATACACCATATGTTACATGGGGACAGGTTATTTCTGTCTGTTTCAGTTTTTTTTTTCTTTTCACACAGCATTTTGGATAAAGAGTAATCCTGAAACCATTCAACCAGAGAACTTTTTTCCAATATTTGCTCCCTTCTTTGCATTGCTTGTGGCATATTTTTAGAAGGCACTTCAACTGGTTTCTCATTATAACTCTCATTTTTTGCGACTTAAGAATTTAAAATTATAGATATTTACCTTTTACTTCATAGTTATTTATCTCAATTTAGCCAATTTTATAAAAATCCCAACAAAATCCACCTTAGTTTGTGGTTGTAAGATCTTTATTTGGAAAAAATCACTTTGAAAGAAACTTGAGTTGTTGCTTTTCTCTGGCACCTTTACAGCATTATCTTTATAAACTGAATTTCCTATTCATATAATTTTAGCATAAAGCTCTCATCACTTTCTACTTTCATGCAATAAAAGCCCTATATTTATATGCAGATTAAAGATTTAATGAACAGAAACTGAGAATGCATCACATTCCGGCTTTAATGTTTTTTTCGCCAATACAGTTTATTCATACTGCAGCCTCTTTTCCAAGTTCTTTCACAATTAAGTTTAGAGTCACAACATGTCTTTATATTCTAAATTAATTATTCAGAATGTCTTTTATCACCTGTGCTGTGGATGATTAACAGTGAGGAGTATTTTAAGACTGTTGAGAAGGAACAAAATACAAATCCTGCTAGAAAAAAAACAAAACAGAATTCCTCCCAATTTGATAGCTACTTTATTTTCTTCTTCTTTAAATAAATATGTAATATGCTCTTAGTAAAGAAAAAAAAGTAATCAGAATGTGTCATATCATTGCCAAACATTTACATACACAAATACATATACAAAACAAACTTTTTTTTTCCATTTTACCACATTAAATATTGCAAAGTGGTGTTCTACTTATCTGCTCTTACTTATAGTCCAACATCAGAGTAACACAGAGTTTGTTGTAAAAAAAAAAGTTTTAACAGAAATTCTTTAAAATGGAAAGGTATATGTTTTCTCTTTCTGGTGTCCTGTGCTGTGTAAAAAAAGCTTGGATTATGTATGTTTAAATGCAACTGCTGCCCAACATTGCACAGTTGCTGACACCTGCAAGTTACAGAGGCTGCATTCAGTGTCGTCAACTCAAAGATAAGGAAAGTAGGTATTTGGTGCTCACACGAATACCACTGAGGTCACACACTATTTTACATATGAATCAAAAGTGCTGAACATATCAAGAATAAAAAGAGCTGGAGCTCTGCAGCAGTGATTTCCCCCAATGGCTTCCTCTGCCCCAAAGTGATGAGCCATAAACTGATGCATGCACCATAGAGACGAAGGATCAGTTGTGCAGGGAAGAAGCATTGCTTATCGGACTTATTTGGAAGAGATGTGAAAGAACTGTAAATAAATGTAGATTAAGATCAACCTACCAATTTTAGCCAGCTGTTTTTGAGCCAAGAGTGTTCTTAAGATAATCTAAATGAATAGGTTCATTTAAATGCGTTTTGCTTAAATAGAAATAAAAGAAAAATACTACAGCAAGCATGGTAACAAGACAAAAATAAAAAGCTCATACAAGCTTATATAAATAAGACCCTGGTAAGCCATGGGTAGGAGCTGACAAAGTCAGCTTTTCGGGATTTATGGTTGATATTTATATCAATCTATTACTTGATCTTTTGAAATTCAACTTGGTATTTTCATATTTTTGTTTCTTTTACTTTGGTGGGTAGCACTTTGAGAAAAGCATGTAAACATCACAATAAATAATAATCATAAAAATAATTTTTAAAAATAAATTTTATCTCAAACTCAATTGCAGAACTTGTGAACATCTTTATTTTACAGCCACACTCGAGTTTCCAGTAGCACACAATCAAGGTTTTATCCATTGCACTACAGTAGTTGTACAGAGCGTTATTTGGATTCTTTGAAGATCTGGCCAATTGACTGTTAAAATCCAAAAATGAAACAGTCAATAGTAATAAGACCCATTCATATATGGTGTTAACCTGGTAGCCGCCAGACTGATATTTCTAAAACTGAGTTGAATTCTATGTTATCAGTATGGGATGGCTGCCGTTTCAGTCTGTTCAGAAAAAGGAGGGATGTTTAGTACAATACTTTGAGCTGATTGGGTGATGTGCCAGCTAGTACCCGCCTTCCATAATACGCTTTCAGCCAATCGACCACAATATCACAATAGGATTTGTCTGCAGCTTCTTCAGTGTTTTTCACAACTAGTAGAGAAAGCTGACAAATCAAACTTTTTCCAAATCCTGTCAGAAAAAAAGCACAGACATCTTGTTCCGTCTGAAGTAGGATCTCTGCTCCTTCTTCAAAAACAAAAAAATATTTTAGCTAAAACTAGGTCAGTTGGAGTATCGACAGGTGAGTCTTCCAGCATAGCCATGTTTGTAATTCCCCAGCAAGTTCCTTCTGACTGTCGTCATGCCTACATGTCCCGCCCCAGAAAACACTGCTGGCTCACTGGTTGTTACGTGATAGACATATTAGCCGGAGTCTTTTGAGATGGATTTGTTGTGTTGTGTTGCGTGATTTGTTGTTGAGACTGAAAACATGGATCTTGTGACAATCCAGCTTGCAGCACAGGGTTATTATGGTGTAGCACTGTGAACTTAACATCGTAGCCCCCATAACATTAGTCATATGGAAACATGAAAAACTCATACGTCAGTTATCACCTGTTCTATTTGCCAAGTGTTGAAACTGTTGTAACTGATAAGGTTACCAGATGTCTGAATTTTGGTTTGCTATCTATTCATGTAAAGTTGGTGTTGTGTTTATTTTATGTTATGTAATCATACAGGCTAAATAATAACATTGGGGTTAGAGTTACAGTAACAATAACATACAAGATAAGAAGTATTCAAACATCAAGAAATGGAAAAATCCTACCGTATAAGGATTGGCATCCATCTGTTTTTATTGATTCTCTTGCCAGCAGCTGCATATAAAATATTAGTGTCACCACAGCCAAGCTGAGCAATGGGGCTTCCATCTTCAAGGAACACATGCAGGAACTGATCTCCAAAGTTCTGCTCCTGGGCTGAAACACAGTAAAAAAAAGGTTGAGTTTTTCTCTTTTTTTTTGTATTAACAAATGCAACACACTATTAAAGCTTCAATGTAAATGTCATAACTCTTAAAGCAAGATAAAGAATCATTTTATCAGAAGCCCCCACCCCCCCAAACAAAAACAAATAACAAAAAGGATTTCTTTTGAAACTCAAAAATAGGTTTGGGCCTTTTAGAAAGCCCCTGAAAACGAAAATGATGAAAAATGAAATGAAAGCAGAAACATATAAAACCAGTCCTCATCCTATATGTAATCCTAAAGCTTAAATATTCAAATATTTTGTTTATACTGCACCAATGTCAGTCAGTATAACGGAAGATGTTTAGCACAAGGTCATATGTGGTGTGATCAATACTCAGCATATGAAAACCTGAGGGAGGACTCCTGTCTGCTAACAAATACCAGCCGATAGGCTTGGCTTTCTCTAGATAAAAGCTTATCAAGAAACATTCACATTTCTGTGACCTCAACAACAGCACACACACGCAGACGGCAAAATGTTTCCTCCTTTAAAGAATAAAACCATAACATGGAGCTGACCCAGACCTGAGAAGTTCTAAAATGTCAAAAGCTCAATGCAGAGTCTCCGTCTGCATGCAGCACTATGTTTATTTCTTAAAATCAAAACCAGTTTGGTTCATTTATATAAGGCCAGTTTATGAGGACAGTCAACAAATTCACCTGGGACACATGTCAGAAATCCTAAGCTGTTTTTAAAAGTAACCCTGCACTAACTGTTCTTCATTTTGAACATGAATAAAAAATACAGACAGATATCTGCTCAAAGGGCAAACAGAGTTCATTTAAAAAAGATATATAAAAATAAAAAACTTCAGTTTTGAAGGGAAGATGTTTAGAAAAAGTAAAGAGCCACTGAGCAAAAAAAAAAAAAAAAGTACCCATTGCTGCAAAAGGCAGCTTTGGTAAATTTATTTAGAAAATACAGTATATAGAAGAATATTAGGTTTTTTTTTATTATATATTTATATATATATATTTATTGTATACATAGTGCCATAAATATCTTGAAATGTGAACTAGATCTCTTCAGAACTGATGTTATAGGGAAATAATTTGGTATAAGACTTAAAACAAACTTTGTTCACTTCAGCATTGAGATAATACATCAATCAACAGCAGCGGATGACATTACTCTGCAAGTCCTAGTTATGGATCTTGAAGCAGTGACTCCAGCTGTAGTCCAAGTTTTATAAATCATTTGTAAAGGTTTTTCCTACCCCACCATTTTCTTCCAGTAAACCTTTGCTTAAAAATAAAAAATAACACCATGAAAAAACACCTCTCTAAAGAGCTCTAAATAATACTTAAGGAGCAGCTAAATTACATCTGCGTTAAGCTGACTCCAGCTACTTCTAAGAATAAAATATCATTAGGCCATTTTTGGCATTTTTTATGAATTTTGTCTTGATCAAACATTTTCGTTGGTCACATTTGATCACAATTGTTAGCTGCATCAAATCCATCCTGCAAGAAGTCTGTGCAGTTTTAAAGAGTCAGTATTGTTAGCATAATACTTTGCAAACTACTGTGGTCTTTGTGAGTAAGGTGGAAAAATTCCCACCAGCACCTACACTGCTGTCTGAATAGACAGGAGCTAATGCATGGCAATTTTAGAATGCAGGTCATTGAGGGAGACTCAGATAGAAAGGGAATGTGCCCTTCTTGTCTCACTGTGAAGGAAGACGTGGTTACATGGCAGGGGACTGAGCAGCAATGCTGCCCTGTTTGAGAGACCTTAAATGTTTCTCTGTTTCCAACAAGGCCTATAGAGGATATTTCAGCTGAAATAGAAAAGGTGACAAGGGAGTTCTAGTCCAGAGAGAGCTACTGAGAAGGTGTAGAAAAAACCTGTTTGATATCCCAAAGACAACAGGGTTAGAGCCACAATCTCAAGAACAAGGCTGATGTGGCAAGCTAAATATAGGATGAAGGTGTGTGTGGGCTTGACAGCCTTGTGTCTTAGCAGAGTGCATGTCATCTATGCTAAGGTGCTGTAATGACATAGGTGGGTTGATTCAGACATCAGTAAAGAGAGCAGGACCAAAGCTAGCAGTTTGAAGACAGCATGGTAACAGAGATGGAAATCAAAGCAGTATTTAACATTATGAAAGGGGATCAATACGATGCTGGTCTCTTCATCAGATACAGCAGAGGCTGCTTTTTACTTAAAATGCTTGGTATTTCACATTTGCCAGTGGCTTGTGTTAGATCATTTAAAAACAAAAATCACATTAGATATTGATAGGTCTTTTCCCACCCACATACACATTTTAAAATAGATTTCCAACATGTTTAACTTGGATTTAGCCATTATACATTTCACTGTTGTTCCTAAACTACTATGCCCTCTTCACATGTAAAAACCAAAGAAATCAGGCTGTTGTCAGTAGCACTGGAAATGTGGGATACTTTCCTTCTTTACCAGTTAAACCATGATGTGACAGGTTTTTGTAAAATACTTGTTTCCCTAATCATTTAATTTTCTCTGCCACTACCATGACAAATATGTATAAATAAATATTATAAAAACATTGTTCACACCAAATACACATCCAATGGTTTAAGCAAAAGCAAAATAATCCTTCTCGATCATGGAGAAAATGTACAGGTATCATGTCACTCAGAACCTGCAGGCCATAACATGCTTTCCTTTCTGTTTCAGATTATCCAATCCAGTTTCCCTCAATAAATTGGTTTATGACTTATTCCACAGGTTAAACTTGCTCCGCTTATCAGGGTGCAGTTAAATATACGGTATTTATTAAACTTCCACCTTTGTTAGGCTAAATCAGAACTGTGCTTTGAGAAAAAAAAGATCTATCTTCTTTTAACTTCACAAGCTCAACAACCCTTTTCATAGCCCTAGTAATTTGTTAACCAAAGACTACAAAGTTGCAAAAGACATTATGGTTAATCATTTAATAACTTTGTGGTACAAAATTTTTATGTGTGTTGCTGCTTTGTATATTGCGATTTGCAGTGAACGGTAACCCTACAATTGGTTGGAAAATACTGTATCAAAAAAGGAGTTACAAATAGTGTTTCTTTTTATTTGCATAGATACGCACTGTTTGCAGCCTGAACTGATGGCATCTACTACTTTTATTTCAAGATATAGAACAGAATGTCAAGGCCTCAAAAAATGTTTTATTATAGACATTAAGTGGAAACAGGTGAATGCACTCAAATTGTTTATAATAAAGATAGGAGAAGACTGAGAAAAAAAATAATTCACCTTGGAAACTAAGGGAGGCAGGAATCCCTTAGATCAATATTCTCAGAACTTGAAAGAAAAAAAAAACTGGAGAGACATAATCTGAGGTAAATAAGTTAAATAGTAATAAAATGCAATGTTACATAAATAATAAAGAGCTGCTAAAAAAAGTCAAAGAAGGAACTTTAGTAACGTTGACATGTGTTGCATACATCTTGGATGTAGAAATTGTCTACCATCCTGTCAACCATCCAACAATTCCAGTTAAAACTTTATGATTTGGAAGTTGGACATTTCAACTTGCAATATCAAATGCAACGTATCATAAGCCATGATGTACAAAATATAATAATTTTTCTATTTATTGCACAAAACTTCACAGAGACAAAAACAACAACAACTGCATATTTGTAAGAAAAAGAAAGAATCAACACCAGGTAAAAATGACCTAACCATGAAATAAACTTAAACAACAACTACAGAACATAATTGTGCTTGACACTTCATCATCTAAGTTGTTTTCAAAACCATAGTCTAGAAGAAAACTAATTAGATTTAATGAGCATGACAGCACAGAGTCACACAGATTTCTAAAACAACTTCAGACAAGTAGGACTTAATAGTCTCTTCTTTTTGCCTGATTTTTTTTACATTGTGCCATAACCCATCTGCGGACAAATATTATTTACAACAGATGTCAATGTTGTCCTTTTTTTCCCTTTTTTCCCCAACATTTTTGTCTGAAAGGAAATAGCTTTGTGCCATCTCCATAGCCCTCTTTCTATGCACTGAACCTTACAGAGTATTCGTCCTTTCTGTCAGTGCCTGTCACCTGTTCTCTCTCCTCTTCTCTCCCTCCATTTACCCCCAACAGAATCACACACACACCCATCACCACACAAATGTTCACACACAGACACACAAAAACATCCCACCTCCAAGTTTTTCTCCTCTCATATCTGACAATTGAAGTCCAGGGGGAGACTCAAAGATTTGCTTCAGGGAGAGTTGGTGAAAGGGAAGGCGGAGAATAAGGAGCAAATGTATCTCAATCTCAATGTATATCACTTTGTTTTCTTCTGATTAACTTTGTCTGTTCAATCTCTGAAGGTTTCTCTTCAGTTCCTCTTGTCTAATTTTAAAAAAGCAAGCATGCTATGAGCAAGGAAGAATAACTAGATAAAAGTCACTATGCTGGTAACAGAATGTATGCTTTCATCTATCTTAACTCAAATCCCAATGGTTAAATCTCTGTATTCTGTAGTGGTGAGCAGTTAGAACAATATAGGACGAATTTAGCTGAGACAAAAAAAAGAAAAAGAAAAAAAAAATCCAAAATGACACAAAAGATTGGTTTTGAAAAGCTCTTTTCATACTTAATCTTAACAGTGAGAAATGTATCTATGAAACAAAGATGGCAACAAAGATGGCGAACTTTGGAAATTGATTCATATAATGCAGATTTATGCATCAAGCCCCCTGGTCACTGAGAACCCACTCCTGGTCCTGAATATATGACATAAAACAACTAGCAATACAATTACAAGTATATTTACATAAATAAATATTTAATAGGAATAATGAGAATAATGAGAAACAAAATACAAAATCTTTTCCCTACATGCATTTATTTTATTATTTCCTTTAGTAATTTAAACTACATTGGTTTATTGTGTATGTATTGGATCCAACCATCCACATACCATAACGAAAAGTTTACTTGCTATGGCTTTTT